TGGCATTACTCCATCTGATAATATTGCGGTTACGACGCTTATATGCACCGATCAGATGCCTTTAGTCTCGCATAGTGGTTTTATTAAGCCTACCTATAATGCAACTTTACTTTTGCATAGCTAATTTTGAGAGAAATTACAATATTATTCTGAATTCCAAGAATTGAAAGCGCTGTGCACGAGTTCGTTACATGTACATTTTGACCCCACTTCACATGAGACAGTCTCTGAAAAGCAGTCATTCATTTCTTGCTGAATTCCTTTTTCTTCATGTGTAAGAAATGTTAGAGAATGTTTATTTTCCTTGGTTTTTGAAAATGATTGGCTTCATATTTAGACCGGCAGTATGAACTGATTCGCGTCGCGGATGCTGCAATTGACATTTATAGTATGATAGCCACTCTTTCAAGGTAAAGTAGTTTTATTGCATTTTATAAAGCTGCTGAAATTATCTCTTTAGGTGCACGAATTCTTGTAAGAAAAATGTGGCGAGTGCTGCTTATGAGAAGGAAATTGCCGTTTACTTTTGCGATATTGTAAGTGATTGCTTCAAATGTAAACAGCCCAAAACTGTTTGTTTAATCGTCACTTTAGGCTTCACGCCGCTCCCTTAACAATCTCAGAGAAGCGGGTGGAAGTCACGAAAGTGAGATAAGACTTATTTCCTCTATCGCATCAACTGTATGCAGAAATGGCGGAATGCCGCAGCAGCATCCCACTGACATCTAATCTAACACTACTTTCGATTGTATGGCGTAGACAAACTCTGTTCTATCTCTGTAAGGCTCAGTCAATCGTGTTGCTGTGGATTAATTTGTTTGCAGTTCTTGACAACCCCCAATTTCGAGTCTTTATCGTTTATTTTAAATGTGGCGACTATGAATATGTACAATTTTATCATCGTTTCATGAATGCCGGGTATTTCCGATTAGAAGATAAGAGCTACCTTTGAAGTTTCCTCTGCTTTTTTTATTGAGAAAAGTTACCGTTCAGATGTTTTTTGTAAGGCATGTTTACATCATGGATGGTACTGACATAAAATATAACACGTTCTGAGGGATCGAATGATGGCAGCAAAGGAGATGACCTTTTGGAAAAAAAATTCTTCCGGGCACTTACAGAAAGCACCATGTTAGGGATGCAGAGCTTTTCTCCTGCTGTCAAATTGCAAGGAAATCTCTACTGTCTAACTTGTCGAAGCTATTTTTTAGGCGTAATTTTCAGAACTTACCCTGTGCGGATATTATATTGTTTTTCTTTGAAACGGCATGGCTTCGCTTGCGTTCGGTACTTCGATTTTCTTACTTTCACTCTTCTCTCATATTTCATAATTATAAAGATTGTAGAGGTTGCTCGAAGGTGCTTATGTTAAAAAAGTATTACGTGCGCTGATTGCGGAGGTGCAAGTTGCAAGAATTTGGTCAAAGTTGCTTACTGGAAAAAGACACTCGGCGCTATATGTGGAGATTGACCAAGTTTTTGGATATTTTTTGAATGTAGAAATTTGCGCACAGTGATTGAAGATCAAATGAATCTATTATTGTATTTGTCAAGAAGACTTTTATTCGATCAATGTACGCATTAGTGCCGTTAATAACAAACTTTCATGTTCACAATCTCATTGTATATATTTGTGCGGAGCTTGAACGGTTTCGCAGCCATTTATCCATTTAAACGGATATTCACAAACTAGAATCCACCCTGCAGAAGAATCTACCTATCTCTATTCCATCTCCTGTTACAACCGTGATAGAAAACAGCGACTTTTATCGGTAGTATCTTGTCAGATTGGCTGAATCTGCGTGGTTCCTTTATAACTTTGGGATTTCTTGTTGTATCTGTGCCCAACAAAAAAGACGCAGAGCTTCTATCAGCCAAAAATCATAATAAAGCCTAACTACCTTCAGTTATGCTTTACAGGTCTACGATTTTTCCTAACAGGGTTTGAGATATTTTGATCCATTGTTTCCATAAAATCTATTGCAGCTTCGTACGCTCATTCAGTATCATAAGTCTGGCAGATAGTGGATATTATTTGTTTGATGGTGAGCAGTTGCATCACTCGATCGCACTCTCATCTACCCGATCTCGTTTAGCTTCGATTTTGTACGATTCTAGGACGATGTACATTGCCACGGTATGTGCAGTGGTTGGTAATTTTACGTTGCGTATTTGTAACGCTTAAAATCAAGGACCGCTAGGACATTGGCTCCAGTTTTGCCGTTAGACACATTAATGCAGTTGGAATAATAGTGCATAGAATAGCGGCTGCCTTAAGACAATGATTGAGAGGAAGTATCGAAGGCATTAAATTATAAGTTGTATGTATGCATTTTCCCCCCTCCCCTATATCTGGTAGTTTATGGTAAATATCTACGATCGTACAAGTTTGCACCCAAGTGTAGGATGCTAACATCTGAGCGAAAAATTATCCACAACGACCTTTCGTTATTGAGTCCCCGGCCATAGGTGCGATAAGGTGAAAACTTGATTCACCCCCCCTTCACGTTGGGCCAGGATGCGCATATACCC